TAAACTTAGTACTACTAGCCTATCTTAGAGGGAGAGAGAAAAAAAGTAAAAAACCTGGATAATTCCATGTAAGCGGATAATTGTTGTTAATAAATTTAATTGTTACTTTAGGTCCAAGCCAACCAATTTTAGATAATGCAACGCACTCGTCCAACGTTCACAACCGAGTCTTGTTGGATTTGTGTATGTTTTAACTTTAAGACCAGAGTCAAAATAAGGGGATTTTGGATATCTTTACATGCAATCGTCATTAATTTTCTAAATGAACGTAAAACCATGAGTAAAACGATTCTAAAGATATTCGTTATTAAGAATACGGGATCGATAATAGGCAATGGGTTCAGTGGATGAGAAACAAAATGTGATCAGTGCTGTGGTAATAATGAAGGCTATGTAACTTGGAAACTTCCAACTTCTTTGTATTTTTTAAAAAATTTCAACTGCAATGTAAAAAATTCCAACTGATTAGCAATTTTTTCTGGAATTACAGGGGAGGGGGCATGACGCTCTCGGAACTACGTGCCTGGTCCCTGCCATCACATAAGAGCCACTGTTTTAGGAGGAAAGAAAACAAAATCCTTTTACATTTAGAAAGGGGAAAAATTACAAGAAATCTAAATTCTTTCTTATTTGCACATAATCACAGATATAATTTTTTATGTCTATCAGAAGCTAATAACAGTAAAGAGCTATATGGGCAAATAATAATTTGACACTTTACTCTTTAACTTAAGTTGGATTAAAAAGTACATTCTAAAAACTTGACAACAAAAATATTTTGAAATATTTTTGCCATTTCAATGTATCGGCTATTGATGTAAAAATGATCTGCAAGTTAATTCTACTTAATAACTGCATATATAAAGTGCAAAATTTATTAATCACAAAGATTACCAGGTTTCATTTAAACCCTTACTTTCAATGGATACAATTGTGTTGCTTGCTTAAAGTTTATACTGGAAATATAAAACAGTTAAAAATCATAATTGTGTAGATCAAACATTAACTTCCTGAAGGAAATAGATGCACTTTTATACCACAATATCATTTAAGACTTGGGGTAAGAGCTTTGTGAACTGTAGATTTGACTGTGAAGTAAATGTTGTCTTTAACATTAACCCCTTTGCACTATTCAGAACTGATGAAGCAGTAGGAATAGCAAATGATGGTGTAGCTCCAGCTACTTTATCAAGTACTATGGTGGACTGATTTGGTAATCATTGTTTTAAATGTAAGTGATATGGAAGTCAGACTGATGAGTGACTGTGATGCACACAAAAGGAGTGGCTCAAAATAGGCTTCAAGTTGGAATCAAGCAAATTTCCTAACTTTGAAAATAATGATATAGATGTAACAGATCCTTCAATTACAGAAGAAACAGTCTTAATCAAATTATTCAGTGGTCCAATTGTTAGTAGACAGATCAAGGCCAGTGGTGGTGTGTAATTTGACCTACAACCTATAAAAAAAACAGGTTGCACCAATACTTGCATACATGTAGAAGAAAAATATACCAGCAGTACTAGTTATGTTTAGATGAGATGAACCACAGAATTCAAAGCTTTCTAGTGGGTAAAAAAGAATTAATAATAGAAGGCCCAACATTTTCAAGTGAATGCAGTAAGTCTTCCCCCACCTATGTTATTTTATAAGATCCTTTAAAGACATAGTGTTGTTCAAGGCAGGGGAAAGGGGCATAGACTACAACATATGTATATTCAGAGGGATACACAATTAACACTGTATTAACTTGAGACTTTTTTTGAGAGAAAGATGTACCAAAACATACTAAATTGTGAGCTTATAATACATAGGAAAATCAGTTTCTGCCTAAAGAGATTTATTCAAAATGACAAGAACTTTACAGATAATATTTAGCCAAATAAGACATATTACATGAAATTTCAAGCATTATGTGAATCAAAACACTATTAATAACAATCTCTTGTACTGTTTTCATATGCAGACCATATTTCTGCTGAAGTTCAGAGCTCCTTATTACATACATTGCTAATTTTTGCCACCTTTGATCCCGAGAAAATCAAAAGGCCAGAAACTAACAAATATGTTTGCTTTAGCCTGTGTGTGTTGTAGCATGGTATATATTGTGCAAAGTTTGATCTACATTGTTTGAAATATAGTAGAATAGCAGGGCGGAAAGCCTAATTCTGAGAAATGTTTTGACCACTGACACTGTATAATCACAAGAAAGGCATGAATCCCAAATATACCTGTTTCAGTCTGTGGAAGACATTATCTAGTTTGGTCAAAATACAAAAAAATAGCAAGCCAAAAACCCTAACTTTATGAAAAATTTTCATTTTAAAACTGTGTAAGATCACAAACCTCATATCTGTCTCTTTCAGTCTATGAAAGTTTGTCATAAAGTATCTTTGTGCCATTTGGGTTGCAACTGATGGAAATACAAGGAAACTGTGGAAAAAAAGGGATGTGTCTTTGTAGTGTTTGGCTTTTAAACCCCTAAGATTGGAACAGTGCCCTAAATGAATAAAATGCAGAAGTTGTCTAAGTATATGACCTATTTTACATAACTACAAATCCATTGAGAACACTTTATGCTAATGTGTATCTTACTGTTCTGGAAGTAACGTTTGCATCTGTACTTACAGCTAGGTTATTGCAAGATCTGTACTAGATTGTTGTGTATTACATATAGAGCACACTATGAGTTACTTAATGTCAATTTTGAAGAGTTTGGGCTTTCTATCTTGACCACTTCTATTATAAACAAGTAAAGAAAAACTTTTCAAAAAAGAAAATAAATGTACGGATGGCTAATATCAATCCTTCAAAAACAATGCAAATAAGACAGTAGGGATGACATTTGTATCATCCCTACATAATACCACAGGCACACGGTATAGTAGAATGTTAACAGACAAAAATAGGATAAATTAAACTCAACTCTGATTGAATAGTTATGCATGTTGCTATTTGTTAATTCTTGCTTATGCTCTTATATAGGGATTATGCAAATGCCATCCCTACTATCTTGTTTGTATTGTTTTTGAAGGATTGATATTTAATTCCTTTTTGAAAAGTTTTTCTTTACTTGTTAGCTTACATTCTTAATGCAGTGTTTCAATAAACATAGGAAGTTTGTATTTATAACCAAGTTCTAAATATAATGAGGTTCAAACTATAATATTTATTGTTTATCTACTGTTGGCTGGTAATTCCTGTTTCACCCTGTACTTAAGTTTTTTAAAAGAACACCAAATTTCTGTAAGAAAGCAAACTTCAAGGGGTAATGATAACATCATTTACACTAAATTTTGATTTTTTTTATTACTAGTAGTTATTAATAATACTTATAAAAGCAGAAACTCTGTTTGACACCATTATTTTGGTTGTGGAATTACCATGTAATAAAAAAGAAGAAAGAAAAACAAGAAATTAAAACTTTTTGGTATGATATTTACAGATATTCCCGTGACTCATTCATTACATAGATATTGTTATAAAAGAAACACTGTATAGTATTGTTACGACAGCGGAAATCACGTGACGCTGGTAACACGTAATGAGTATCTAGAACATTCGTGAAGGCTCGAGTGTTGACCAGACGCCCTCTATTTTGTATATATAAGACCAGCGAGAAGTGACGGGATGGATAGATAGATAATTGCAGACAGGCAGAGACAGAGACGGACAATTGAGTCAAGCACGGTAGTAAGTTAAGTGCGTGAATCGTTCGTTGTGAATTATAGCGTGTGTTTAATTTAAAGTGACTGTGGAAATTAAGTGTATTGCAAAGTTGAATTGAGAAAGAATAATCTAGTTTTATTTAAGAAAAGACTTGTATCGTTGAACTTTCTCAGAAAGAATTTCTATGAAAAATTAACAAATGAACACAGACATAACAGTATTATAAAGTTCTAATGATCTACTGACGAAATATTTAAAGTACCACTTCAATGAACAATCTGAGCCATCCCTACACAGGCAGTGCTACTGCCTGCTGATAGTAGTTTCCTGCACCTTCTTCAGTTTCCATACAGTTCCTAGGAGAAAAACAACTTGCATCTGTTGTGGCTATACTGAAGAGCCTAATGGGACAGACATATACTTCTGTAGCAGTTGGTGTGCTTCAACTGTTATTCCAAGAGCTCACAGTTCATTGCTACTTGCCTCAACACAAGATCCACACCTCAAGATTGTGGGTGAACTATAAGAGTGACAGTGAAATTCCACTAGTTGATCAGGCAAGTAGTCCAAGAGTTGGCAGTGGATGCTGTTCATTAGCTTCCTTCCCTTCAACTCAGTGTTTTCCAAACTTTTTCGTGGTATAACCCCTTGCCTAGAAATACCATCTTCACTGAAATCCAACTTTGAATAATTCTGAGCAATTGTAATAATAGTAATGAAAATGCTTTATTAAACTTTTCATTAGTAAAGTGGATGGGAATACAACACACTGAATTAATAAAAATTGTAAAATTTCTGTAACATTGGCTGAAGTATGTAGAAGGAGAAATGTGACTTAACACTTTTAATGTGAGCTATGCATTTGTTGTAGCAGGCATAGTTTCTCCAAGTGTGGTTGTAGACTTGCCAGTATTAGTAGTTCTGTTTCAACATCTTTTAGTTGTTTACATTCTTTTTTGAGTCCCAAGGCCACTTATGACCATTGGAGCACATTAGATGCTAATGCATCATCGATTATTCTGGGGAAGATTATCTGGTGGTGCCTATCTTCTCTCCAATTAGCTGTCCCTAATTTATCAGAAAAACTATTCAAGGGTCATGTGACATGTCCTATTTGAAAAGCAGAACTTTTCACTTAGGCTTTACATAGAATGAAATTAGAAAACAGCAAAATAAAATGTTAAAAGCATTATATTTTAAGGCAATTTCACACATATGATGTAAAAGTTACTCTGTCACAGTAGTGTCAAGTGGAAGAGACTCATAAGTATTTTGAAAAAAGGCATTTGCTTTGTCATACTAAAAATTGTGATTTCTAATGTTGAACAATGTTAAAACAGTTTTCAACATTTAATGAAACCCTATAAAAACTCAATGATAGTTACAAGATGGTATAATGTCAATCATAATGGCACATCAATGCATGATTTAAAGTTCGTAATAAGAAATTTAATTAAACTTTTCTTCAAAAGCTATTCCTTCTTAATAATATAAACCACAAAGGTATATGCAACCCCTCAACCACAATGGGTGCAAAGCTATCTGTTGTAATGAAACTCTGGCATGTATTTTTTCTGACATCAAACATTCTAGTTTCATAGCCACATGAAAAAAAACATGAAGTTACAACATCATATCCTTTTAAGTTCTAGTGATATATATTTTTTGCATATGTAAATGCAAACTTATGTGAAAACATGCACCACACTTCTACCACTTGCGATTGTCTTGTAGTCGCCATTAGTGTTCTAACTGCATTATTTATGTTGCATAATATGCAATATTCACAAGAGAAAAAAATCAAAAAATAGTATAAGATGCCTCAAGTTTTATACATATATTGACACAAAGTGGCCTAATAATCTAAACATTAACACTTTTGTACAGTTGTTGTTAAGTAAAAAGATACACTATGGACTATCTATGCTCTGCCCATCACAGGTATCAAAATATATATTTAGCATTATAAGACTCACCACTCATCCACTGGAGGGTAAGTCGACCTTTATTACAAGATTTATCATATCTTCATTTTTTTTTTCTTTAGACTACAAACAATTTCATAAAAGAAGCTATCATTGTCCAGTGAATGGTTTCCATGTTGTATCTCCTGCATATTGAACTAAAATTTTACAGTAAGAAAAATAGTAACCACTATCACTACCGACAACACCTGCGTGTTTGTGGTTTACACAATAAGAAAGGTCACTTTAATAAAATATAAATTTATTGTTAATGTATAACAATATAAATCATTACTGACAGAGTGATATATACGAGACAGTTTCCAAGTGGCTAAAAATACAAAACAGTTATGTTAAAGATCCATTGCCCAGTGTTTACTATCATCTTTCTCATCAGGAAGGCCTAAAAGCTTTGGGTTTTGATAGCAACCAAAATAATGCTTGACTATATCACCCCACAACACATGTTCACTGCACAATGGACAATCTCCCTCTACAGGAATAATCTGTTCTGTCTCACCTGCAGAAGCTAAGAAGTGATTAGCTAGACAGGTCATGTGAGAGCATGCAGAACATGCTGGATAGAGGCAATTCACAGCTCTCTTCCCTGGTAGAAGCTCTTCATGACACACAGAGCACCAGGAAGGTGGTTGACTGCTGGTTGATGAAATAGTCTTCAGTTCATCAACACAGTATGAAGTTGGTTGATCATTAATAAGTAATGTTTTTGCTGTATTACCACCAGTAGAGGAGGTTCCTGGTTGATCATCAAAAAGTGATGCTTCTTCTGGTTTATTACCATTATATGAGTTACTTAGTTCATCATCATCAGATAATGATATGTCATCTGGTTCACTGTTATCATCCGAATCATCAGTTGATTCATCATCAAGTGGCTGCATTTCTTCTGGTTCTTTAGGATCTGAAACTTTCCCTCTGGATGATAATGTTTTGATACATTTGACTGGTCCTGTGGTGATTGGCATGTGAACTGGGGGTAGAGTATCAGCCTAGAGAGAAATTGACCATTAAAATGTAGCTATAAAAATAGTTAACTTAAAAGATTGTAATTACTTGCAAATATATACTACAACTAAAAAATCAGCACAACGTACACATACTACATAAATTTAATTATATATATATATATATATAAATAAAACCATACAGGAACTGAACTGACATAAACTGAACCCACACAAACTCAAAAACCTAAAATACACTTTATAAGATGATCCAATAAAAACAATGACAATGATGTCATAGAATTCACTTTAAAAATCACAAGTTGATAGGAAATATCCTAAACATCCATAACTGATTTATTAACAAATCATTCATTAATTTCTTGTTTAAGTTTCTTAATAAAGGAACATAGAGCCTGAAGTGTAGTAAAATTATTAACATCTTAAACTACATTTCAATATGCTTTAGCTCACCATGCAGTTCATATGTAAAAAAAAAAGTTACAAAATGAAGTACACACTGCTTTTATACGATGCTCAATATACTAAATTATGACTGATATTAATCGGATTCTTCTAGTTGCTAAGGAACAAGCTACTTCAGTAAAATTTTGTATGGAAAAAAGCTGTAGTTATTAGCTTGTATATTATGTATAAAGCAAAATTTCATACCTGTTATTAATTGCTGTTACAAACAAATTATGTTCTTTTTTATTATTTTCTTTTTTCATTGCCTACAGTTTAAATGTAAATAACTTTCGTAACTGATGCAAAAAGGACTACAAAACTTGCCCGAAAATCAATTTGGCTATCTTCCTTCAACCACCGCACAGTGAGAGGCAATCTATTCCATGGTCCTACTCTCAACATTTCTGAAAGAACTCGAAAACGATAGCTAAAGCTAGTTTCTTTCCTAGATTTACCAGTAATATGACGTAGCCTTCTAGACTTCAGTGGATGCTGCCAGGCCCATTCAAACTAGAGAAAATGCAAAAGAAGTGCACAATAAAAAGCTGTGTACACATTCTGGAATCTCAAAAAATAAAATTAAAGCAATTATGAAAACTACTTAAGTTGTGCAGAAACCTTTATGTTTTACAGAAGTAGTATTAACATGACCCATGCAATATATTATCTTGGGCCTTTACAATAATTTTATATTTGTCTAATTCCTGTAATAAATGATGTATTAAGTATGTACAAACACAAGGAAGTAACAAGCTTCACAGAATCTTTTTTTGTATAATATATACAAGTCTCAGCTAAAGTACTAAAATGCTCTTAAGAATAAATAGACATATCTAGATAATTACATGCTTTTTAAAATGCCATATCAAATTGAGTAGTACTAAATAGTTTAATAAATAACTCTTATTGGTATTTACTGTATGTTTAATTAGCATGAAACTATCTTTGAGATCAACAGTAGAAAAAAAACAACTAGGTATGTAGAGGGACATTCTAATAATCACTGTATAATTTATAGCAATTTGTTTACCCTTAAAGCAGAAATTTCATTAGGAAATCCATGGATAATCAAAACCATTTCCCTGTAAACAAAAATACGTATGCATTATTAAAACATTAAAGTGTTATTAGGTAATAACTTTTAAATTAAACTAGTGAATTTTAGATTAAAAAAATTTCAAAAAAAAGAGGATGTTTAAATTACTGGCATACAAAGTAAAATGAATAATCAAATTAGATTCATAGCAAATTTTCAGAAATAAAAATAGCATACTAATACCAACTCACAAAGGCTGCTGATTTAAAACAAATGGTGAAGTGACAAACATTACACCTATGATTATATGTTTGAATCAAAGCTCATATGCAAAAGTTTAAACAAATTCATATATTTCTTTCATATTACTAAACACAGTGAAAATAACCATGACAACTGTATGCAAACCTAAATAATTCCTTCGCCATCACTTATTAACTTATATAAATAGTGGCTTTCTTTTATTATTTGCATGTGATGGTGTAATAACTATTTAATGTTATAAGAATGTACAAAGTTTCTCTAATTCTACACATTTTACACTTATCCATTCTTTAAGGAGGTTTAAAGAGTACCAATGCACCATTCTTCAAGAAGCAAAGAAGAATATAGTTTTTTTTACAGTTTTTCAGAATATTAGCAATTACATTTGAAACCATTATGAAAATAAATAGAAGCTGGAAGCTTGAATTATTTTTTAGTACTGCCTAAATCTACAGGTTCATTTTAGTTAATACTACTAAAGTTATAATTTTCCTATTCTGAAAATGTATTTCTGATTGTTACTTACCTCTACTCACAAGATTAGCTATTCTAGTTCAGTGCTGCCCTCTATATGCAAACTTTTCTTTATGCATGCCACAAGCCTTGCATTTCCCCCTTGTTGAAATTACTATATTCTAACATGTCTCTCATGCAAATCATTATGCATCATCTCTTAACCAATAGTAACATGACATGCTCATGTGACATGACTTCCTCTACATTCCTCTACCGAACCTTCACTTCGAAATTGGGCAGAAGGTGTGAGCACTGGAGAACTGCAAGGAAGGGTGGAAAGTGTCAGTAGAGGTAAGTACCTGTCAGAAATATATTTTCAGTATAGAAAAATTATAACTTATGATATGGTACTTACCTCCCCTCACAAAATTAGCTAGAATCCCACATTGAGAAGGAGGAGAGACTAGTGCAAGGGAACAAAAGAAGTACCCCCAAAAGCATTCAAAGGATATCCCTTACAATGAGAGATATAGACCCAAAGATCAGAAGAGGGGAACTGCACCACTTCTGAGCCAGGTATACTCTTCACCCATGTGTAGATTGTGTAATACACAAGGGCAGAAATTGTGAGGTGCAGAGTGGCTAGGGAACAGTGGACCATACTCGGTAAGTCAACTACATACAAAACCTCTGACATCCACATGAGGGTAGGATGAGGATCATACTGTCTTCACATCAAACCCAAGAATCCGGGATTAAGACCTGCACTAATTTCTGGTTATGCCACGAAGATCATCACGGATCTATTGTTCCGGGAATTGACATCCAGCATTGAAAGGATGTCTATCACATGGAATCAACTTCCTCAACTATGGCACAAGCCAGTACCATCCAAAGGCAATGACATCCCCCTAAGAAGAGAACAAGGGATAGTCAAGGATAGCACCAGAACAATCCCACGTACTACCACTATGACCAAAGACATAGAGAGAGCAATTGGGGGAGGAAGATAGACAACCTGTATTCATGCGAGGAATTAGGTTGATTGATTCACTCTAATCCCAAACCTCTATGTTGGGAATTGACTTCCACGCAAAGGTAGAATGAGGTTTCCCAATTGAAGGGGTGAACTGTAATTGTGATAGCTCAACTCCAGTGTTTATGTAAAGTGTATCAGGAGGCCACTTCATCCAGTAAGGTGATGACTCAACTCTAGTAGTTGTGTAAATGTCAGAACGAGGCCACATCATCTGTGAAGGTGATGGATCAAATCCAGTGAGTGTGTAATAGGTATCAGGAGGCCACCATGCCAACCAGAAGGTGACGGCTCAACTCCAGTGGTTGTGTAAATGTCAGTAGGAGGCCACATCATCTTTGAAGGTGATGGCTCAACTCCAGTGGTTGTGTAAATGTCAGTAGGAGGCCACATCATCTTTGAAGGTGATGGCTCAACTCCAGTGTTTGTGTAAATGGTGTCAGAAGGCCACGTCATCCAGTAAGGAGATGGCTCAACTCCAGTGGTGTTGTATAAAATTGATCAGGAGGCCATGTCAACCAGCAAGGTGACAGCTCAACTCCTCTGGAGGCAATGTCACATCTACACCAGCAGAACACCACCACCCTACTCTCAATGGTTGTAACCTTTTCCTTGTGGAAGGCATTCAGGAGACTGCCTCTGTGGTCAACCACCTCAGTGGCTTGGAACTGGAAGTGGTAAGGACTCCCATACTTCGAGGAAAGGAGGGTGAAAATGCAGTGGAGAGCCCAGAGGAACGTCATCACCAGAAACATTGCAATGGGTGACCACAAAACCTTATTTTGAAAAGAAGAACATAGCAAGTTATTCACTCAAGACATGGCAGGGATGGGCAACAATCCATTTCTGCTTTACCCTAGTAGCCCACAAGTAGTACGATCCAGAATGGGCATGTTTATGAAGCAAATTATTGAGAGGTAATTAACCATCAAGCGATCTTGTGGAACACCCCATTTTGACAGTGAGCGTGCAAAGCCATGGATGAGAGAGCACAAGTCAACAAGACCGACAGTGAGGATTCAGAGTTACAGAATACCTGGTCAGGCATCACTCACCACAGAGCAGGATCTATGTGATGAAAAGGGAGAGAAAGGTCCTTGAAAAAAAAGAAAATGAAGAAAATTTACCAATTAAAGTGGCACCAAAGTCTAAAGAATGGCTAAAGGTGGTAAACAAAAATCCAACACAGGGAAAAACTCAATATGATGAAGATAGTGGGAGATGAACATACTGGGAGTGGTACACCTGCTGGATTGGAGAATCTCTTCCATTGGATGATGAAGACGAGAAGTGTGGGAAAAGGTGAGATGTCTGATCTGATGGGAGGAAACATAGAACAATGTACAAGAGGAAAAAGACAGGGAAGAGTAGGCCAAAGAAACCAAAAAGTGGACCCAATTCATAAGGGTAGAAGGTGAAAAATCACAAAGTAGCAGTATGTGCTATATAAAAACAAAATACCCTGAATGGACACAGAAGTCTATCTGTATCCGGTTTAGGGTAAAGATGGGATATAGAAAGAAGGGAAATAGGAGAAAAGGATGAACAACCCTCCCAAGCTGCCAAGGTCTTATGGAAAAAGGAACAATCGAGATAAAGGAGAAGATAGGTAAGGTGATAAAGGATACATGAAATGTCAATAACATACATATCAGACTGTCGATCTCCATGGGCCAAGAGACGAAGGAAATATGTTTTAAGGGACATATGAAACAAGGAACATGAGGAAAGTGGTTCAAACAGAGGTAAAGTGAGAGCATCGAAGACCACATTAATGTCCCAATCTGGAAGGGCAGGATGCCTTGGAGGCCTCAAATCTGGAAGGAATGCATGAGTATGGTAAGAACAGGGGAAATAAAAACCCTATGGTATTGGGAAAAATGAAAGGTATGGGAGAGGGTCACCTGATATCCAGAAAGAGAGGAGACTCAAGACCCACAGTTGAAAAGCCAGGTGAGTAATTCTGTCATACGAGCCACAGAAGGCTTGTCAGCAGGACACTTATGTTTGTATACTTCCATGGAAGATGACCATAAGGAACTAGCTAACAAGGAGACAACTCAACATGTGAAACCACATCGTCTCGCCAAGGACCGAACAAAAGCCAGATGTGGAGATGCAGAACAAGGAGATTGGGATGTAGAATGTAGGATCGAGGTTGATGAAGAAGGGAGGGGGAAGTGGAAGAGGGACAGGTGGTGATAGGAGCAGACTTTGTTACTGGAAACCAAGGTTGCACTGACCAATAGGGTGCAATCAGGAGGATTTGACAAGGAGTAGAGTGGACAAGAGAAATACCCAATGAAGCAAATGGATTGGAGGATACACATAACAGTATTTGTGGTACCAATCCTGGCTGAAGGCATCAACCACCAAAAACTGTGGATGTGGTACAGGTGACCAAAAGAGGGACAACTTGGTACTGAGGCCTATGGCAAAAGCATCCAATTGGTGAGAACCCCATTGATGGTAAAGGTACCTGAAAACAAGAGGATATAATGCCCACTCCATTGGATAGATCTGGTCTGAGTGCAAAAGACAATCTGCAACTAAATTGAAAGTACCTGGCACATGACCTGCGATAAGATGAATGTGATGAGCATGGGCCCAGTATAACAGATCCAATGTCCAAAAACATAGATCTCTGGACCAAGTGCCCCCTTGGTGGTTGATATGTGCCACCACCGTAGAGTTGTCTGAAGGAACCATCACCAGACAATGACATGTGAGAAGAAGGAAGTGATGTAATGCCCAAAATACTGCTAGAAGTTTGAGAACAATGGTATGCAACTTAGTTTCATCTGTAGACCAATGTCCCAAAGCTTTCTGGTGATTGACCTATGGCCCCCATCCTTGAAGGGATGTGTGTGAAAAGATGTAAATCCGGATGTGGGGAGGAATTGCTGAAACGTCACTTAGACACAAAACTAGGCAATTATAGTGCTGTAACATGTTATTCACAGTAATTTTAATTTAAGCATGTGCAACTAGCAAATATACAACTGAAATATGCTTTGTGACATTATGAATTGAGAGTTTTTGATTTCAAACAGAGTTAAACAGCTTCCCTGATTTTAAATCTAATGTTTAAATATACATGTGTAAGGAATTAACTTAGCATGATTTCTTCATTATTACATTACACATGCATAACTTAGGTTAATAATAACTTACAAGTTTCCTATTCACATTATGTGCAATCATGATGTAACTCAACAGTCACATAATATTTGATGTTAAAGGTATTTATTGTTGACTGGTTTGTGACATATAGTTATACTAATTATTTTAAACATGTGATACCAACGTATGCTGAACTGCAGTGGATAAATACTTAACTGCCAGTTAGGTACTGGTTTTTCATTAGTAGTTTTATTATTAGTAACTTTTTTTTATAGACTATATAGGTGGCAATTGAATTGTTTTGTGTAACTTATTTCTATGTGTTAATAAACGCTTTCTGGAATTATCTGATGTATCTTTATTGAGCTAGTTGAGGCTATTGTAAACAACCTAGTTCCCTTGTTACATGACAGAAAAAGATTGTCACACTGGTGCCCAATACGCCTGAAAAGTAATTACCATGTGACTCTTGAGTTATATCATACACTGCAGTTTTAGCTTGGACAAGTTGGCTGCATAAAAAGGTAAATAGAAAACTTGTGAATTATTATGAACATAAGTTATGTGTGTGTGTGTGTGTAATGATATGATAATATGTCATGCAATGTTTATGTGCAAACAGACACCTAAATCTGAAAGAAATAATAATGTTAACTTAATTTTTCTCACACAAGTTTCAAACCTGGTCAGAGGTGAAATATTGAATGAGAAGACATTGTGAAAGGTATGATTTGTATGAAAGTATGTTTTGGTTAGTGTTCAAGCTTACAAGGTGAATCACAACATGAAATTATGTACTGTTACATACCATGGTCCTTTGTTGTTAGTTTTCCAAGCACCACCTGCTTTCATACCCTTATTATGTTGCTGAATGCGACGATTAGGGTCAACAGTAAAGCCAATATAAGTGCGACCTTTGAATTTTGGATTGGTAGAAACCAGTATGTAGCACCCATAGAAATTTTCTATATCACTCATTATGCCCATCTATAAAGAAATTCCAACAATACAATAAAACACTTATGTACATGTAATATTTTTGGTGTAAAGAAACTGGCAGCTGATGCATTCATAAATTTGCAAATGTATATTGATTATTTCCAAATGCTTATATCTAAAGCTTAACTATTTTAAAAAACAAAATAATTTCATATGGACTTACATATTCATATTTGTACAATTTATATCCATAAGTTCCCCAATTTCAACCCTCTCAACTATTTCTCTATTTGAAGTTAACAATGAATGTAAAATAGCATTGTTTCAAATGGTTTCTAAAAACCTGTCTCCCTTATCATTTAGGCCCTAAAATTTCCCAATCTACATGTCTGAAATTAAAATCCTCCATTGTTATCTTCTAATATAGATCAGGAACATCTGGATGCAAGTGATCATTGCTCAATTAGGTTTAATGTTTTATTGTATATGGAGATAAAGAATAATGAGATTTCATACTGAGTTTTACAAATGCCTATATTTAAAAAATTAACTATCTCAGAAAATCAAATTAATTTCATATGAATTCGCTTATTCATATCTGTACAATTTACACAAATCAATGACATGAAATAAAACTTTTGTACATATAAAGTAAACAACAAAAATGACTAAAAATAACATAAAGAACAGACAAAAGATTTCATGAACAAGTGATAAGGAACCATAGAAATAAACAGCTCTCAAAAAGAATGATATGCATGCTTAAATTTCATATTGCCAAAACTGTAAGAAGTATGGTTTCATTTTCAAGGAATAAACAAGGACAATCTGGCCCATCTTGACTATCCCATTTATTACTACGAGCTAACTATCTACAGAAACCCTTTTTCCTAAATTCAACCTTGCTATCTTTAAAATACTTGCCCAATATTCTGTTAAACTCCTTCATTTATTTAGATGCTAGAAAAATTTAGTACAGGTCAAAGCATTACCTATTGATTTAGTTGTTCAACTCACAATAGATAATTCTTATCGTAGCCTTTCAAAATATGTTTTGAAATCTATAACCTAAATCTCCTGATCTCCATATGCAGTAAAAAAAAGAACTAGTTTTGTAATGATCACATGTATCCAAATGATCTTGAATCTCCTCTCTCTCAACAAATTCTGTATTGGAAGTTAACTTAAATTTAAAACAGCATTGGACCAACTGGATTCTAAAAACCTGTCTACCTCATGATTTGACAATAAAATTTCCCAATCTATAGGCCTGAGATTGAAATCCTCCATTATTACCTTCTAATATAGAAATGGTTGACAGGGTGGTGTTTGAAGACATCTGGATGCATGTGATCATTGCTGAATTAGATTTACTATATTACTGCATATGGAAACAAGGAATAATACGATTTTGGCTCCTTTTTATGAATGAATGAGACAAGAATTATTTGTTGTGAACTGGGCAACTGAATTAATTGAAGAGATGGATCAAATATTGAAAACGTTTAAAAACAAATTTTTAAATATTCAAGATAGGCATGCTCCCTATAGAAAAAAAGGGTGAATGCAAGTAAATGAAAAAAAAAAAAAAACTGCTTGGCTTAAAATAGATATAAATGATAAAATTAATGAAAAGCATTATAAATATAAGAAGTGAGGGGAGATTTAGAGAATTATAGAAGATCAACAGAGTTGGTTAAATAGGAAATTAGGAAACTGAAAAAACTATATGAAAAAAGTATGGCTGAAAATTTAAAAATTAATAGTACAGATTTCTTTAAATACATTAAGGGTAAGCAAAATGGTAGGATGAAAGTACAGTCTCTGAGGAATGATACCTGAAGGCTCATATCTAATAATTATCAGATGGTTGAGTTATTATAATCTATTTTTCTTCGATATTTACTAATGAAGATTTAAGCACCATTACTCATTCTGAACAGTTGATAGATGAAAACAAGATCAAACAACATGATCACATTAATTCTGAGCTCATTAAGAAAAAATTAGGAAGTTTAAAGAACAATAAAGCTCCTGGGACAGATAATATTTCCCCATGGGTTTTGAAGGATATTAAGAATTGGATATGAAATCGACTTGCTACTATTCTTTTAAGTCCTTGAATAGTGACCAGGTAGCAGAAGATTGGAAGGTGGCTGATATTACTGCTCTCTTCAAGTGATGTGAAAAAAATTGTCCTAGTAATTATAAGCCTATTAGTCTTACATCAGTGGTGGTAAAAGTTTTTGATAAAAGATGCTTGCAAAGACATTTAACAATGTGATGTTACTAGTGGCAATGCAAACATGATTTTAGGTTTTATCTACAGAAATACTGAATACAAGTTTAAAGCGGTAATAATTTCATTGTAAAGGCCATTGGTTAGGCCACACGTATAGTATTGTGTTCAGTCTTGGGAGCCTAAAAGACACTGAGTTGTTGGAAAGGGTTCAGAGGAGGACTTCTAGGATGATACCCAAGATGGAAAGGTTGTCATATGTGGATGGGTTGAAATCTCTGAAACTGTTTTCTCTTGAAAAAAAGAAGACTGGATCTGAATGAGGTTTTGGAATTGTTTGTGTTGATCCATCATCTTTTTTTGTACTTACTAGTAAGAATGGTATGACTAGGGAACACAAATCTAAATTTGGGTAGGGTGGGAGTTATTTTCAGCTAAAACAACAGGTTGCCTACAGATGTGGTGGATGCAGTTCATTTAAGTCAATATTTTTAGTCTCTATGACTATTAAGCAACCTATAACCCTGTATTTCAAAGAAATGTCTCATCTATCCACATTTGGGTTATTCTTTTATATCAAAATCTTCTGTACGGACTAGTATTCTAAGGTCATCTATTCCATTAATTACACTTCTAGCATTACAATAGTGGCAATTTAGCCTACCCTCAAAACTGTTTCTGTACTTTGTTCCCACATTTTTTCTCCTTTTAGATTATCCTAGTCCTCACCACTTCTAGTCCTAGTTTAAAGCTGCTCTTACAGCTGAATTTAAAAGTAAACCATCCTTCCGAAAATCTTCCTTTTCCCATCAAACTGATCCTACAAGTTTAACCAGCCAATTTGCTTGTCATTACATACTAATCTAGGTCTAACATTCAACCATAGTGACCTACTTATAATCCCATCCCCACAATTACAGCCTGACAGTATCCCTAACAAAATTAAGTTATTGTCCTTTTTTTTAATGCCTTTAACAACACCCTATACTTATCAATTAGCTCCCCTTATTTATCCTTCCCTACATTATTAGTCTTTATGTGCACAACAAGGACTGCATCACAGATAGTACTCTTAACTATCTTACTTGCATTGTGAGTTATATCCTTCATCCCTGCATAACATAATCTAATTGTTTTATCCCTGTTTTCCCCACAGACTATCCTATCCACATGCCATATCAAAGAATCACCTATAACTATAACAAGGATAGAAATAATGAAATACAATTATGTTCACTGAAGGAAAGCTATCAGGAAGATTACATTCCCTCATGAATTTTTTTTTCTTTATTTAATCCATACAATATGTTCTCTTTCATTGGTCATAACTAAAGGAATATGGATGAACCATGCATTCCCGATCAGGAAAGCCAACTAAAAAAGATGAAATTCCACAAGCAAAGTTAAATTCATCAGGAATGTATTATTTCAATTCCTGCTGTAACCTTTTTTAGTTTTTCATTCCTCTCTATATGTTCTTCTTATTTTCTTTATCTTCCATAGTTTATCTGCACAAGCTAAAGACTGAAATTTATTACTCAAGAAAACCTGATCACTACAGTTAATCCACTATTTCTTGTTCTATTACTGTTTCTAACTTCCTGAACATCATTTTAGCAACTGTATGGGTTGTCCATAAAACCAAGTTACTCTTTAGTTTTTAAATCCTGTTGCCATTTCCTACAGTTTACACTTCTTTACTCTATTTAGGATAGCGTCCAATTTCTACTCCAATCTGCAAAATATACAAATTGTACATATTCACCACTAGCTTCCTTAACAGTGCATGCTAGTCCCAATTTCTCACATAAAACTCATTCATTTCATCTATCACACCCTACAAACTGTGATCCATTCACACCTACACTACTCTTAACCATTTTAGTCTGGAAATGAATAATCAACATTGTAAATACTATAAATACAATTAGCCTACTGACAACACTGTTAAGTCTAACATTTGAGACTAAATATATTGCAGTATTTTATTGCTACTTTATCTTCATGGTATGCAGTTCATCCATAATATATAACATACATATTACAGATATCAAGTCTTTAGTTGATATTTCTGTAATAATGAAATTTATTTAGTCAGTTTTACAACTTACAGTAGGAGTAGTGGGAGTCTCATTAATCCATTTATGTACATTACTAATCAAATGACAAGGCGTTTGGCTACCTTCAGAAAAAACATTAGTTAAGAAAATCATATTTGTGGAGGTTGGGGACTAGTTAACTGGATTGTAGGATGTTTGTTTGGCAGAAAGAAAAATGATGGATCCTCGTTACTAGCTTAGTATTGCAACAGTCAGAGCTTGGGCTGGTGCTTTTTCTTATTACATTAATGGTAATTATAAGACTCAATTAGTAAAGTTTGATGATGTCATAAACCCTTGGGTATTCCTTACTAAATTGAAGATGTTGAAGTAATAAAGTATAACTTGGATCAATAAATGACTTAATCATAGTAAGTGCAAAATAATGTACTTAGTCTATCATGATTAGGTTCACACATTTAATACGGTTGGGAATGTATTTAACAGCATAACTAAAAAAAGGGTGTTGGCATAGTCATGAACAACTCACTTACTAGAAATGGTTCAGACGAGGGCTACTAGGATGATTTCAGGGATAGAAGGGTTATCTTTTGGGGAAATATTACAATATCAATTTGTTTCTCTTGAGACAAGAATGGTAGAGGCAACCTTACTTAAACTTACAATGTTATGCAGGGGTAACAATAAAATAAAGACCTCTGCTTTTTTGTGCTGTATTCCAAATACAATAAGATGAGAGAACAGAAGTTTAAGGTACAAAAAAGAAAAAGGAAAGGTGAGATTTAGTCTTTACTTTTTCTCAAGGGCAGGTATGCAGGGGCAGTTTTCAAGAACCAAATGATTTATTTGCAAGTTGTAATTTGTATAGGTTCCAGCAGTAAAAATGAAAAATTTACTGACACTTGTAAGTGCATTATAAGTAAAAGTATGTGAGCACACACATTTCACAATAACGTTGTTATCAAAACATTAAAAGTAATAATGTACAACTTAAATGTAAAATTTTACAAAAAACATCACTATCCTAACACTACAATTACAAGTTATAACTATTGCGGGTTAATACTACTAGTACTAGTAGTAGCATTATAATTATCCACTAAAAATGAGTAAAAATTAAACTGGATTAAGTCAAGTCGGCTAACACTACCAATAGTATATTTATCCTATTAGTATTACTATTAGACCCACAATAGCATAAAATTTCAATCAAATTATCAAACAACACTGAGACATAGCCTTGCAAATTACATTGGCCCTGTTTGCACAAACAATGAAACATAATCACAAATAATTTATAAATATAAGACTTAAAGTTAAAAATAAAAGATACACACAGTAATTTCAACAGGAATTGAAGAAAAACACCAAACTAATAGTAATAAGTCTTCAAAATGACAAATATGAAATATATACATACACACGTGAGTGCGTGTTAATATAAATTAAAATCTAACTTAATTCACAAAATAGACGCTCTACCACATTAAAATTTAAAATAGCTAATTTCCGATCGACAGCGTATCCACTCAAACTATTTTGAAATCCTATTGCTGAGCATAAAAAATCCCGAGAATATCCACGAAAATCAACTACAAGAATTACGAAATAACTGTTGAAACTACTACAATATATTCAAAACACTTTTTAAAAATAAATTTCGAATGTTCTTTTCAATTTTACTATTAGTAAACCCAGTTGGGTTAATTTTTATCATCAAATATGAAAAATATCAACAGAAAAAAAAAAGAATGGTGAAAATTACAGACTTAAATAGTTTGAGATCTTCAGTTTTAATTCCAACTGTGATCTAGGTGTAAAAGACAAGTTTTCTTTGCATTAAATAAAACAGTGCTTAAATAAAAATAGTATTAGTTAATAAAAATAAAATAAAACAATATATTTTCTGTGACATTATAAGGTAGCACATATATATATATATATATATCAAACTGTGAATATTACAGTCATTCATTTTTAGTAATAATTACAACTGCAATATGCTCCAAAGCTCAATCTTTACTTTGCAATAAAATTTTAACAAAGATTCTGTCAAGACATGTTTCTTCGTAAAGAGAAATAAAGTATAATATTATTCACGAAATTACAAATTAAACAATAAAAACATGTCAAACTGTGTTACTTGGGTTATAAAAACAAGGAAATGTAGATACATCCGATGATTTGTTTGAAGTTAAGCACAAAGCTACACCATGGGCTATCTGTGCTTTGCCCACAACGGGTATCGAAACCCGGTTTCTAGCGTTGTAAGTCCACAGACATACCGCTGTGCCAATAGGGAGCTCAGTAAGAGGAGAATACTCAACGGTTAAAATATTTTCAGAAGCTTCTCGTATGTGGTAGGGCTTCAACCTCTTAATATGACACAGCTGGGTAGCCTTTCGATGATCAGGTGTTTTTACAACATGTCCGTATCATTAACTTTCCGAACAACCTCATAGGGACCATGATACCTAACTTTGAGTGAATGTCCCATAGTGGGTAACAATACCAAGACCGTATCATCAGGATGGAACTTACACTCTTCGGCCTTACGGTTATAAAAATTTTTCATTTTAACTTGGGAGGACTTCAAATTTTCTCGATCCAATTCACAAGCACATGAGAGGCTGGACCGAAACTTGGAAATGTAGTCCAATAACATCTTTCAACTATTGTTCCTTCAGCAACTTCAAAGGGCCACGCTCTGAATGGCCAAACATAAACTCAAACGGGCTAAACCCTAACGACTCCTGAACTAACTCACAAACAGCAAATAATAATAAATTAACTCCTTCATCCCAATCCTTCTCGTTATCGAGACAGTAAGTCTGCATCATATTTTCAAGGTAGAATGGAATCTCTCAAGAACGCCTTGCGATTCTAAATGACACACACTAGATTTGATCTCTTTAGCACCAAGCTGATAAACAACTTGTAGAGACAACCCTGACATAGAATTTGATCCTTGATCAGATTTAATTTCTTTGGGTAAGCCAAAAAAAGTAAAGAAATTGATCAAAGCCTCAGAGATTTTTTGGGCTGAAATGTTTCTCAAAGGGATAGCTTCAGGGAATCGAGTAGATGCACACATGATAGTTAACAAATAATGATTCCCCGTTCGAGTTTTTGGTAGAGGCCCAACACAATCAACAATCACACGACTGAAGGGTTCTTCGAATGCTGGAATAGGTTTCAGAGGAGCAACAGGAATTTTCTGGTTAGGTTTTCCGACTAACTGGCAGGTATGACAAGTTTTGCAAAACTGAGAAACGTCTTGCCTAATTTTTGGCCAAAAGAAATGTTTTATAATTTTGTCACATATTTTTTTTGACACTTAAATGACTTCCCATGGGGAGTTCATGGGCAACTTTCAATATTTCATAACGATAAGATTTGGGAACAACGATTTGATAAAGAATATCCCAGTCCTCTGAAGCTGGCACATCTGGTGGTCTCCATTTCCTCATAAGTATACCATTTTTGAAAAGATAACCAAACTTTCTTCAATTCATTTTAGGGAGCGAACATTTAAACAGTGAAGAGATCTGCGGATCTTTTTTTTCTCAGCTATCAGTTTACTTTTAGTGAACAGAACTTCACCACGTGAATCAGATCCCTCACGTCCATCATCGTTTCTCACCGAGGAGTCATCAGTAGGACAATTATCCACCAGATCCTCGTCGGATTCAACAAATGTCTGAGAGAAGTCTATAATATCATCCTCTGAATCCATGCTTATCACTTGTTTTTGGCTTAATTTCTTAGCCTGAGCTCGAGTGGCAGAACACGAGGGAAACACATCGGAATTCTCCTCAACTACAACATCATCCTTAGATGAAATAGTGATCGGCTCACTAACCATTTTAGGTTCGGCAACAACTTTTTCCCCAGCCAAATCGTTTCTCAATAACAATGATACACCCTTAATTGGCAGAGTAGGTCTTACTCCAACCACAACTGGTCCCGAAACTAGGTCTGATGCCAGATAAATGTTATGAAGAGGAACATTAGCAAAGCTACCCTCAATACCTGAGCAATAACAGACTCACCAGTGGCAGAACTCGAATCTAAAGTCAATACACCTTCTACCAACACTGATTGAATTGCCCCAGTATCACGTAGAATGCGTATGGGTATGGGATTGCTAGCGCATTCGTCAAAGACACAGAACCAACGGTGGCCAAATGAACAACATTGGGTGATCTGGTGAAACTGCGTCCGTATATGGACACAAACGCACTGGGTGTTGCCTTCTTTTCTTTTTTTCTTTTTCAAACACCAATAGTCGGACATAAAATGACCAAGTTTTTTACAGAAATGGCAGACAGGTTTTATCCTGACTGTCAAAAGATTTCGAACTAGAGAAGTTGGATTTTTTGGAAGAATCCATAACCTTAGTGGATTAAACAGATACAGGTTTTTGTTGAGATGGTATGAATTTCTTTTTTTGAAAAATGGTTTTATGTGTTAAAGTGTAGTCATCAGAAAGAGCGGCTGCTTCCTGAAGTGTTTCAACTTTCTTTTCATCCAAGTAAGTTTTGAGGTCGTCACGTCCACAACGTTTAAGTTCCTCAGTTAGATATAATTGTCTTAGTTTGTCGAAACTGTTACCAATATGCATCGAATTGAACCATCGATCAAAATAAAACTATTTTTCGTAGGCAAATTCCATATAAGTTTGATTATCATACTTGCAATAACCTCGAAACTTTTGGCGATAAGCCTCTGGTGCTAACTCGTATGCTTTGAGAATAGCTGCGTTAACCTTATCATAATTCGTACAGTCTTATAGAGAAAGAGAGGCATAAGCTTCTTGGGCTTTACCAGTTAAGACACTTTGTAATAATAACGACCATTTTTCGGTGGGCCATTCCATGGTTTGGGCAACCTTTTCAAAATATTGGAAATATTTATTAACTTCATTTTCATTAAATTATGGTACTTTAACATATTGATTAAGTTCAAAGTTGTCATTTTGCCTTGGTCGATCAGTGTTAAATCTAATTTCAATTTCTTTCAGCATAATTTCTTTCTCGGCTTCAATGTGAGCTTGTTAGAGCTCGAGTTGTTTGAGTTTTAGCTGGATCTCTAATTTGTCCTTTTCACTCAACCCCGTTTGGCTAGTAGGGACACTAGAGTATTCCTCTAATGCTTCCTCAGACAACAAATCATCATCTACTAGTATTTCGATAATACGCTTTTTAGTTCACTTTTTCTCATTGATCTCTAAACTTCTACTTCTGAAATTTTGGCAATTTCGAGCAATTCATTTTTGTTATATATTTTCTAGTTGTTCTAGGGAGGGTGATACAAGAAGATCTTAATAATCAGACATGATCAAATCTTGTTGGCACTGATAAATATAAATTTAATTCTGATTTAAATTTTAGATTAGATCGAATTTTGTCTGTGATCCAGATCTCGGACACGAGCCCCCAATTTATTATGTTAGGTATTAGAGTTACGAATAGTCCGAATAGTCCAAAGCCGAGTTAAGTGATAATTTAAATTTAGTAGTTAAATTGTGCTTTGGATTTAGTATTTAAATATATGCCGATATTTTAGTCAATTTACGATATTTGCCAACAAGATTGATACACACCCTTTTTCGTTTTAACACAAATATGTTTTAATGTACACAACAACACAATTTACAACAACAATTATAACAAATAGTTATTACAAACAAAAAATTATAAACAAAAGTTTCACAACCTTACAAACAATATAAAAATCTTCTTTCTAGTTTGGAACTCCCTTGAAATCTTATCGAGGGTTTACGATGAGCGAGTTAATTTCAAGTCGATGTAGATACGATTCGCCAGGAAGCTAGCTAGCTTTGTATTCTTGGTCACACACGCTGTTTTCCACGATGAATTTATATGTTTTCATAAAAATACTAATGTCCGATGAGAATCTACTGAAGTTAAACGATTTGTAACGTTCCAAATTTATAAATATTCCTGGTCAAATATCTTAAGTTTTCCGATTGATAGTGGTTATAAAAATCACAGTTATAGCGTTCGTAGCTTATAGCACACTGATCAAAGCAAACTATTAATAGACACTCTCCTTTTTGGCGAGTCGCGTTGGATGTATTTATAGGCGTGGGAAGGTTTTTGGAAAATTCAGATTACATAACAATACTGAGCTATATTTAAACGTTACGTATATAGATATATTGTTGATCCTTACTTTCAAGAATCTTCTACAACTTTGGATAATAGGCGGGAGTTTCGCAATACATTTCTAACGCTATAAGCTAGGCATGTTTTTTAAATCCAAACTTAATCTAAACAACGTTCATATTAGAATAAATACATAACAACAAGTTCGTTACAAAATACAAACTTAATCTAAACAACGTTCATATTAAAATAAATAGATAACAACAAATTCGTTACACTGGTCAGTGTGCACCAGAGAGAGTGACCAAGTCAACAAATAAACTTTCGCTATAGTTATTAGTTTCGACAAAACATATCACTAGTTACTTCACCTGTGATGTCTTGAGATAGATATTGTCTTTTCTGTTGGGAATCGGATAATGAGCCGAGGCTGCTACGCCCTTGCGTTTGAATCGCAGTAGACGAAGCATT